TGGCTATCTTTGGTTTGGTTTACTTGTTTTATCTAATAGTAGTAGTATGCGCTTGAAGAGGGTACATCAAAGCATGAAATACTGCCTTCTTGACCAGAAGTCTACATGGAGTGTTCACACACACACACACACAGACAAACCAAAAACAAAAAAAACCTGAAACTATACACATTCTTCCTGGCTTTAAGTGACTGACCTTCTTGTTCACTGTTTCCAAAGAAATTTTTAAGTCAAAATGACATATTTTAGTGATATCCATGATTAATATAAACTGTTATCTTCCAACACACTATGGCACATTATGGTGCAAAGCCATTTATTGATCAGAACATTTAGGTAGATTTTATTTCAAAGAACCAAAGAGTTAAGTGCCACTGATTTGCAGCTTGGAATTCAATTCCTTATGAAATCCAGTTGTAACTTATTAAAACTCAAAATGCTTTTGGGGGAGGGGTATGGAGGATGAATGACTTTCAGAATAGCCTGAGAGTTGTGAATAAAGAAAAACATTGCTGTGTTTATTTAGAGAGTATTACCCCTTGGAGCCAGCATTTGCACTAATGCATTTTACATTAGCGTGCCGCATCAGGAAATCCTGACTTTTTGGTGCCAAGGGGGTAATTAATATCAGTTCATGTTTTCAAAATGGTTGTGTTTATGTGGGAATGAGGACTGAGCACTAACATGTAGAGCCTGAAGTATGAAAGCTTGCTGCGAAGTGAGATCTCGGGAAAGAATGGAATACTGAAATTACTGAACAGGAAATAGGACTTCTATGGATAGAATGATATTAGTACTGAAAAGAAGCCACAGCCACACTTTCTTGCTCTTAATTTACTAAGCATTAACAGAAATAATTCCCTAGTATAGTCATATTGATAGAAGATAAAATCTTTGATAGCTCTAAACAGTATTTTGAACCACTGATATCAGGAGTCCTAAAAAGTTTTTTAAAAATTGATGATGTGCATTAAATACTACATGAAAAACAATCATTATTCCAAAATACCCTTCCCTAGCTAATATAGTTATACCTCTTGTAGATATAAAATTCTTTATAGTTCCCTAAGCTGAATAAGAAGAGCTACTATAGGTGTAAAATCAAAATGCTTTTAGTACATCTTTTTTTTCCAGAAGAAAAGTTGGCAAGGAAACTATAATCAAAGTACACAGTTCATATGGTGAAAGTCAGAAAACTTTATGGAAAAAGCAAGCAGTAGAGAAAAAACTCCAAAGAACAAAATTAAGTTAAAACCTAAGAGATTTTATGAAGTCCTATCTAAGTCTAAAAATAAGGACTTAGAAAACATTCTATTTATAAAACCTTTAACTGTACAAATATCAAAAAGATGGTAACTTTTAAGTATATTTTTACCAATATTTCAAATTAAATCTATTGCTACTAAATACAGCATCCAATCCATGCAAGTAATGGAAAGTGAGGACGATCTTAAAGGAAATATAAAGAATTTTGTCCTACTTCATTAATCAGAAATATGAACTAAATGATTATGAAGTATGTCACACACACACATTAATCTATCATTCCTAAACACTATGATTCCACACAGAATATGAAATGACACTTCACTACATGACCCTAACAGTAAAGTCTAGGCTTTGCTGCTATAACAAAGACCTTAATAAAATAGAAGTATTATTTCTCTCATGTCAAAGTCCAAGCTGATAGGGGAGTAGAAGAGTGGGTTTCATGAGGCCATTCAGGAGACTTTTGATTCTGTCTAGTTGTACTGCCATTCTCTAGCGTATTTCTCCACCTGTAAAGCCAAAGCTCACCAATAATATGTCATGTTACAGCCATTGGGAAACAGAAAACAGAAAATGGAGCACACTTTTAAGGATGTGATTTAGCAGCTGCATACATCACTCCAGCTCACAGCCTGCTGGCTGAACCTGAAGTCACACAACTAAACCTCACTGCAAAGAAGGCTGTTAAATGGAGTCACTAGGTAGGTAATGTGCTCACTCAAAACTTGGGGATTATTTTTAAGAGAGAATAATATTTGGAAATAATCAATATTCCCTAAGAGATTAAAAATGATAAAAACCTCCCAGAATATTCAGAATTGTTTTATTCATCTATTTTAACTTCAAATAATTATTTTTGTACTGTTTCATGAGAAACAGTACATTAAAATATATTATCATAGCTAAAGATTACAGCCTAAACATAAATGCATCACTCATATATCTAACTTCTTAAATTATGGCTCCCTAACAGGAAAAAGATAAAATTAAACAAACGAACAAAAAAAAACCATGCACATTTATCCACATATATCCATAATTATATGACACACACATGCACTTATATATGCATGTATATATGTATGTATGTATGTATGTGTATTTGTGTGTGTATATCCCTCTCTCATTCTCAAGTTTCCCAAACTGAGCAATAAATTACACGACCGCTCTATTTATAGGTCTTTATTGCATTAATGAAAATTATACTACATTGTCTATTTCTGAAACTTAGCGTTTTAAACAATAAAAAAAAATTTGGTATTGATTTAATTTTGTGGTAGTAATCAAAACAAGATACACTGGGGCAGCTATTAAGATAATTAAAAGGGAACAAAAAATTAAAAGGGAACAAAAAATTACTTTAAAACTTAAAGTAAAAACCTCCAAGATGTTCTAGTCATTTTATATAAAAACACATTTCAGTAATTCTCTATTAAGAAGCCAGTCATTGTTTATACCCTGGCAGTTAACTCTTATCTAATAAAAAACACCTTGCTAAAAGGAAAAAAACACAACTTTATGCCAATTATAAGAAGGTATACTTACAAGAATATAACTAGTCTTTGAAATAGCATAAATCCAACATGCCTCGACTATAATTAATCTTTTATATAAACAGAATAAGGTGACATCTCACATCATTAGTTTATTCAATAAATGTGAAACTGTTTATCCAAAGAACAGAGTTAATACTCTATACTATGTACAACAAATTTTAGAACAGAAATAAATGAGAATATTTTTAAACATTTGGAAGTTAGTAACCTTGCAACAAGCTATGAAATTAACTATATAAAATCTTAAAATTTTAATACAGTGAAATACATCTTAGCCAAAGTTAAAAAATAATGAACAGACTGAAGAGATGTGCAATAGAGAATAAAGATTAATGTGTATATAGAGAAAATCATACATAATTATACATATATTTGTGTATATGTCTTTATATTATTTCCTCTATTGCTTACACAACATCCCAATAGAAAAATGGACAAAGGCATTTCAGAGGAAAAAATAATAGAGTGTCATTAAGCTTTTCAAAAGATGCTCAAACTTATAAATAAATCAAATGTAATTCAAATTAAATTCTGAGATAGCATGTTTTTAAAAGCCTACTAGAATTGCAAAAATTAACATGACTAATAATAGGGTGTTGACAAGAATATAACATTTAGGGGGACATTTTTTAAAAATGTACATAGCCTTACACCTAACAAATTAGAAATTTCCTGTATAGACATACACTAATGAGCATACCAAAATAAAATCTCGCCAAATAGCTTATGAAAGCTTTATCTTTGCAGTAGTAAAAAAATTAGGAATACAAGAATATAGAGCATTTAGGATATTTCTAAGTTTGGGAAAAAAAAAGAAGTTGCACAAAATAGTATTGCTAGTATAATTCAAAAGACAAAGCAATAAATATATGTTGGCTTATATGTGCAAAATAGAGTTAGAAGAAATTTAACAACCCTTTTAATAACTGTCACTTTAAGAGATGAAATTATGGAGAATGTTCCCTTTCTGTATAATCTATTTTTGCCAATGTCTTAATTATTTAACAGGAATGACTATTTAAAATGAAAGAATAGGCAGTGATTTATTTATACAATTTCTGAGATGGTTTTTAATTCACTGTTAACACTGAAAATACAAAATCTGAGACACAGGAAGAACCTTTGAGTATCAAGGGTTCTTTAAAAGAGTACTTGTCTTTTAGAGATACTTACAGAATAATTAAAGGACATAGTGTATGCTTCAATTTGTAAGTCAGTGTATATACAACACAAGATTGGCCACGAGTTGCTAAGTGGATAAGTTTGGTTACTGGTACATGGCTTACTATATATACCATTCTCTCCACTTTTGTATATATTGGAAAACTCCATTAAAAATTAAAAACGAAACCAAAACCGAGTCACAACTCTATAAAATTATACTAACATATTCTCGAACAACTGAACTAGCACAGTTAAATATTTTTAAATATTGATCAATAATCATCCTGCAGTTTTCCTAGTAATATTTTGCTTCTGGAATTTTATGGTATGTTATGACATATTTCTTTATTATAATAATATACATTTTAACAAAAAAAACCTTCAGCTTAACAATATATATTGTCTATATGGGAATGTAAAACTTGGTAGAAAGTTACTGGTAAAATTCTTCTTACTAAGTATCAAAGGAGTAAGGTAATTTTTGTCATCACCAATTAAAAACTTTTACGAAATAAGACTGTTATAAAACAATTAAACCCTGCAAATGCACTAGTCTCCAGGAAGAAAGTCCTGGAGGAAATTCTGCTTATTAAAATTGCAATTTTAGTTTCCATTAAAAAGAGAATAAGACAACAGAAGATGGGCTGGCAAGACAAATTATTTCTTAATGTCAGTTGAGCTTATTTCAAATGAGATAACGTATCTACACCAGGTTGGGTTCAGTACAATTTTGTCTCCTCAACTCATTTATCTAATTCAGTCATCTTGATTATAGCCTCATGGACTTCATTTTGAGAGAAAGAACTCTGTAACAAACAACCCACACAACATGCTGATTACTGAACAGTTAATTCTAATTAACTTGGGCATGGCAAGAGAATTTTGATAAAGTCCTAGAATACAAATATAGTCTGCTTATACTGGACTAACTCATATAAAAAACCCACAGCATAGTCTCCAGACAAAACAAGAGAGTCAAAGAGATCTAATTTAAAGAAACAAATGAGAAAATTTAAATCACAAATAATTTATTCTTCTGTTAGAGTTGATACAGTTTTAAATAGCAACAAAGTACACAAGTGGTGGAAAATTGGCACAGAACCTATAAGCATTTCAATCTCAATAAGGCTGTTCATGCTTTATCTGTTCAAACTTGATGTCCATTTTCTACTGAACAAGTAGGGAAAAAAACCTATTCTGACCTTAAAACACACATACTCTCATACATACACAGAGACACACTGAAATTCCTCCTTTTGATTACAGGATGTTAAGAACAGTTATGTTTTGCTTATTCAAATTAATGGCACCCCTTCTGCTTTGTTTCCAGTTAGAAATGGGAAAAACCAATTCAATTATAAATAGGCAACTGTGATGAAAAAAGCAACTTACCTTTGGGCTAGATGTTTTCAGATTATGCTTAAATAATTGTGGTTATAAACTTCTCAATGCATGATTTTCTGTCCAATGCAATATCCCTGAATTAAGCTAAAATAATCAGGCACAGGACAGTCTCAAATATGATTAAATATGCTAATAAACAAAGTGATTTAGACTGTTATCTCTATGCTTTTAATACAAATCATAATAAACTTTGTCAATAAGCATTTTCCTAAACATCTGTGTTACATTTAACAACATAAAAAAAGGGAAAAACTTAAGTGTCCCTTTATAAATGTTATTTCCAGTTAAGAAAGTTGAAATAAAGGTTTCTAAGTCTCCTGAACTATTCTATTATATAAACCAATTAACCTTCTATTGTTAAAAAGTAAAACTACTGGATCAATGTTGACTTCTTTGATATCATTTATAAAATGCTCTGATATCACTTACCAAGTTCCCTGATTACTCAAACAAGGTAAAATTAACACTTCCATTTTCAGTTTATTGCTATTTTAGGAGAGCATTACCATTTCATTTACATGAAACTGTTACCAAGATTCTTCAAATCCAACATGAAGTAATTCTTATTGCCTCACATTTTAAAATTGTATTATAAATGATCTTTATAAAAAGGTTATAATCCACAAAACTGGAAAGCTTTAAAAAAATGACAATTTACTCAAAACTGTATCACAGTGCCCTTGATTATCTGACAGATAAAAGGGATCTTAATTTTCTCTTAAGAACATTAACAGTGGACATATGGTCTTCTCCCTCACCTTTATCTTTATAGTACACCATACTGAAACCAACACAATCAAGCATCCACCATGCTACAATCCACATTAAGAGAGGAATTATGATTCTGTCCAATGCGTAGTGTACCGCCTTGCATATTTACCACATGAAATAAACATAATATACAAAATATTGCTGCTGTAAAAAGTGTACATTTCCCTCTTCCCCTTACAAAAGAATCTGTGGAAAAGTATTAAATTCCCTTAACCTTCATAAACATACAAAGCTGTTCACACCTTTCAGTCTGTAACAGTCCATTTGAAATAGTTCCGAAATCATTGCAAATCGGTTATGTCGTATTTTCTGTCCAATGTTGCCATCTAGAGTAGAAATGTGAAATTAAGAGTATTTTTGAGCTACTAAGCCTGTTACAACTAAGCCACAAAGGCTGCTTATGGATGAAACAGCCACTTATCCACAAGGTTTTTCCAAAAACTAGATGGAATGGAAGGATCTCTTCACAAGGAGGTGTCCACAGTGCTGAGGTGACAATATGGCTGCTAATAGATACTGGCTATTGGAATGTAAGTACTTTTTCACTGCTGGTAATTTCCATACTGTCCCTAAAAGACAAAATTTTTAAATATGATTATATAATAGTTTGATCACAATAGTTTGACACAAGAAATTACAAATAAATCTTAACATTGCTGTGCTACAAAAGCAACTGCATCTACAACAAACAAAAATTTTTATGTATACAGTATGTCTGTAATGTCTTCTGATATTACATTCAATTGCAAATGGATTTCAGAGTCTTTGAGGATAGAACAGTACCTATTACGTAGTGGAAAATTTTAATGTTTTGTAAATTTTGTTGAACTGAACTGAACAAGAATGAATGAGAAGTTCATGTAGTATATATTAGTACATAAATTTATGCTAGTATAACAACTTTGTGACTATTTAGCTTAGTATAGCTACTACTATGAATTAACATCAAGGGTATGTGGGATACATGGCAAGGATGGAAAGATATCTGGGAGATAAAGGGAAAAGATCTTTCTATCCATACTAAAGAATTTGGGCCTTTTCCTGAGGCCAATAAAGTGTCAGGAGAGGTATTCAGACAGGCAGAGGGTACATAAAATCAAGGGAAATTGTTTGTCTTGCTTTTAATAAAGTAGACTTAAAAGCCTATAGGCTGACAGGACAGGAAAGAAAAAGAGTACAGATATCAAAGAGGTGATGAAGTAGCAAAATTCTACAAGGGAGGTAAATAATGTCTAGTATACAGCTGTTAAGTTTCGCTTTTGGGAAAGAGAAGGAACAGCTTTTCCTCTAAAACAGAAGAAAAAAGGTAGAAAAACATATTAGAAACTATATAACAAAACTTTCTTAAATATTTTAAAAATAGATGCTCATTAAAGCACCTATTTTCCAAAAACAGTACTCATTAGAAAGTATATAATCAGGTAATTGTTTCCTTTGGTTAAATTTCCCCCTCTAAATCACTTTATTTTATTTCAACAAATATTCTAAAGTTGAAATACCCCTGTACCATAGGAAATATTAGTACCCTAAAAGTTTAAATTTCCATAGAAGTTGATATACTTGAAAATTTGCTGAATGCCATGATATATCTAATGGATTCATTAATGCACTAAAGATAGAACAAAGATATTTTAGAAATATTAATGTACTTTATAATCAGCAAAATTTAAAGTCAATGCTCATCTTAAAATAATGGTGGGAGAATATCAAATCTAGGATTTGCCTTAAAATACTCTGAAAAGAAAAATAATTAGTGTGGGAAATATGTAAAACAGCATTGGCAAAATGTTGATAATTGTTGATGTTGGTTGGTGGGCACATAGCAATTCATATGATACTCTTCTTTTTTTGTATTTGTTCAAAGATTCCTATAATATAACATTTAAAATAAGAAATATAAGTCAATGCTTAGCATACAGGAACTTATTATTCAAGTGTTAGATGACCTAAATACTAAAGCTGTTTAGGTCCTGAGTCTATTGTTAACTTTCTATTTCAGTCTAACAAAGCTTGAGACTCAGTTTCTTTATCTATAAGATGGGACTGTAACATTGCCATTTCTGGATCTCAATTTCCTTTCCATTCATGGCTACATTAATTCTCATCTCTTTCGTTTCTTAGGACTGAATAAAAAGAGGACATGAAAAAGGGCTTTTAAAAATTATTTTAAAAAGTATATTTAAGCAAATCTCAATTCTGGAGGGAAATGCTCCCCTAATGAATGCATATAATGTGATATTAATGATGAGAGTGAGTTGTACATATTATGAATAATATGAAAGCAGAAGAGAGGTTAAAAACTACTGTACTTTATAAGTTATAATTTACCTACTATATTATAAATTACTTGAGGGGAGAGACTAGGTCTTATCTATCTTTATGGCCCAGATATTGAAGAATGCTTGACACATAAGACTTCTTCAATAATGTATGCCAAATATTATATTCAAGCAAGTATAAACATTTATTGAGCAAATATTATGTTAATCACCATAATAAATTTAAAAAACGGAGGGTAAGACTTATAAATAAAGGACAATTACAGAACAAAAGTTCTATAAGAGTTCAGTAAAGAAAAGGTAATTACAAAAATATTTCAGAGAATGTGGGAGCCTTAAAAGAATAGTAAAATTTAAGTAGTAGAGAAAAGAAAAAGTGGCAATTCAAATAGAAGGAATAGCTAAAGTAAAGGCATGGAGAAAAAATTCAGTATAGAATGCTTCGGAAAGTGGACAATACAAGAGAATAATATAGAATAATGAGGAGTAGAAGATATTACTTGTTTGGTAACAGAGAGCTTGAAGTAACTGAAATAAGAAGTTGGCTCATATTAACAGTAGCTAACTCTTAATATATCTCAATTAACTAAGGTCTCACCATGTGTCAGACACTGTAATAAGTGCTTTGTGTCCATCTTTAACCCATAGAGCAAATATTACTTCCATTTTATATAAATGGAGTTGAGACACTGAGAATTTGAGTAATTTGGTCCACACTTGATCACAATGCTAGGACCAAATCAAATCACAGCAAGCCCCAAAAAGAATACTGTACATTTGCAACCACTGGCAAATTCCAGGGTTAAAAAACAGCATGGGTTTTAGAGCAAACAATTTCTACTAATAATTCCATCACTTAATAGCTTCTTGTCCTTGAGCAAGTTACCTAACCTTCATTTCTCAATTTTCACATCTAACTAGCGAGGGTAATTATAACCCCTACCTCAAAAAGTTATTCATGAAGAAAAATAGGAAAATGCGCTGCAAACTACTCAAGTACTCATTGATATTACCAGAGGCAGCATGGTTTAATGAATCAGGCTCTAGTTACTAGAGATTCTAGTCACTCAGAATTTGCCATCCAGTTCTACCATTTTGTAGCTCTGGTCATCTTAGGTAAATCACTACAACTTTCTAAGCCTCAGCTTCTCTCTCTCTCTGCTTCTTTAATTTTTTTTTTTTAACTACAAAACTCCCCTGACCAAAGTGTTAAGAATGAATGGAAAAGAAGCAAAAAGGCAGCATGGGAGGATCCTTCCATGATGAAACTAGATGTTAACAGTCTAAACTAAGATAAGTGGTTAGAAGAAGTGGATAGGTTAACAAGATTTTGTCTTTTATTAGGTGAAGAGAGGGAGAGGGAAGAAGACTTAAATATCGAATATGGCATTTGCCTTTCTAGCTTACTGATAATACCTACTCTCTTTGACAGAGGATACTTAGAAAAGAGGAAAAAGTTCGGGTGGAAAAATTATGATTATTTTTGGTTATGTAGAACTGATATATTTATGATACAACCAGTTAGGCATCTGATTTTCAGAAGAGGGAGTCAGACTAGAAATAGAGATTTGGGAGTCAATGGCATGGCAAACTGAAACCACATGAGTAAATAAGACTGAGTATACGGAATGAGAAGATTCCCTAGAACAGAAACCTGAGCAATGCCAACCTTTAAATTTCTTTTTCATTTGCCTAATAATATGAAAGTCTTACAATTATTCGGTCATAATACTTTTTAGAGGTTTCTTTCTCCAATTTACTGTAATTACTATTCATTCAAATCTAGGAAGTAAAGGCCTTATTTATTCTCTTATTTAGACTTCATTTATTCATCAATATTTATTGACTACTTGATATTTTCTACTAGGTGAAAGAGACTCAACAATGATAAAAACAGATATGGTGATGTCTTTAAAAAACTGACATTCTAAGGGAAGAGGGCATGATAATAAACAATAACTAAATAATCTTTCATATGGAGATACACACTCTGCTCCAAAGTTAAAGCATCTACATCACATTTAATGAAATTTCCTCAAAAGGCAAGGATACACCCTCTCACCACTCCTTTTCAACACTGTACTGGAATTCCTAGCTTATGCAGTAAGAAAAGGAAATAAAGGTACACAGATTGGGAAGGAAAAAATAAAACTATCTCAGTTCACAGATGATGTGATCATCTAGGAAGAAGATGCCAAAGAATCAACAATAGCAACAAAAAAACTCCTGAAACCAAGAAGCAAAGCTGCAGGATCAAGGTTAACATATAAAAGTCAATAATTTTCCTATATACCAGTAATGAACAAGTAGAATTTGAAATTAAGAACCCAATACCATTAAACATTAGCACCTCCAAAATGAAATACCTAAGTATAAATCTAATTAAAAATATATAAGATCTATATGAAGAAAAACAAAACTGATAGAAGAAATCAAAAAACTAAATAAATGGAGAGATATTCCATGTTCAATACTATCAGGATGTCAGCTCTTCCCAAGTTGATCTAAAGAGTCAACATAAAACCATTTAGAATCCCAGCAAGTTATTTTGTGGATATAAATAAAACGTGATTCTAAAGTTTATACGGAGAGGCGGAAGACCCAGAATAGTCACACAATATTGAAGAAGAACAAAGCTGGAGGACTGATACAACTTCAAGACTTACTATAAAGCTAAAGCAGTCAAGACAGTGTGGTATTGGTGAAAGGATAGATAAATAGTATAAATGAATAGACCCACATAAATATAATCAGCTGATCTTTGACACATAAGCAAATGATGCCAGAACTGGACATCCTCCTGCAAAAAAATGAATCTAGACACAGACTTTACACCCTTAATAAAAATTAACTCAAAATAGATCAAAGACCTAAATGTAAAATATAAAAGTATAAAACTCCTAGAAGATAACATAGGAAAACACCTAAATGACCTTGAGCTTGCTGATGACTTTTTGGATACAATATCAAAGGTATGATCTCTGAAGGAAATAAATGATAAGCTGAACTTAAAATTAAAATTCTCTACTCTGCAAAGGATAATGTCAAGAGAATGTAAAGACAAGCCAAGAAGATGATATGTGCAAAAGACACATATGAAAAAGAACTGTTATCTAAAATATACAAAGAACTGTTAAAACTCGACCATAAGAAAACAAAGCAACCCAATTTAAAAAATGGGCCAAGGGACTGCAAATTGGTACAGCCACTATGGAAAACAGTATGGAGGTTCCTCAAAAAATTAAGAATTGATCTACCATATGATCCAGCAATCCTTCTACTGGGTATTT